GGGTGGAACATACATCTGGTGCTATAAATCAGGCCAGCCCCCTGTGTCAGGGAAGGCTATAGGCTCAGTGGGGAAGCCACTGCAAGTATACTGTTTGATGAATATGGTACACCTGCTGGCATATCTTCTAGGTGTCCGTATTTACATTTACATCCGTGTTTGTACAGATGTGTCTGCTCCCTTCCACCTGTCTCAGTAGCAGGGGAGACACCACTGAGATGGAGCAGGAGGCACGCCTTGAAGACAAATGATGGGGAGGCCCAAAAGGTCACTATCTCACCACAATACAAGAGAGATCGCTCTGCATCTGTCACCCCCGCCAAGGCTCAGGGACCCTGGTGGAAGATTGGCGGAAAGATTGTGAGAGCTGGAGGAAGGGGTGGAGTGTAGGGTAGGCATCCTCCAAGAAGCTAGAACTGAACCTCTAAAGACTCAGAGGGGTTGGGTCTAGAGATGCTGAGCTGACAAACGAGACAGACCTGTGGCTTCTGATCCAGGATGCCCTGAAAGTTGACTCAGCAACCCTTGTGCTCAATACCTAGGCTCTGTTGGGATCTGGGGAGAGGAAGAGTATGTACGGTGTATGTCATATGCCTGTCCTCATGTGCTAGCTTCTGTCCTATAGGGCATCTGAACATGGCTGTGCCAGAGTGCAGACCTCACACAGGTTCAAGCCGGGCTCTCAGGCAGCTTCCTTTCCTGCCACCCTCTTTCCTCAGATGAGGAGGCTCTGAGCCTTATGGGTGACTGGAACTGTACAATGGATTCCAGTGGATTCCTTGTCCCAGAGCAAGACCCAGCATTTGGAGTCCCCTGGCGCCCACATTACCCTCGGGACTGAGGACACCTGTGGAGCAATCACCACCTATTTGGAAGAATAAGGAAGGACCCTGTTCCTGTCAACTAGACAAAGGAGCCCCTCCCCAAGCTCCTGGACAGCACGGGAGCCCATGTCCCGTGCAGAGGCAGGGACAGTGACTCACTAAGGAAGGGGCTGGTAGGCAGTGCTCTAGGCTTCTCCCTGGCACTCACACAGGGACAGACTGTCCTGCTCCTGTGGTCTTCAACCACCTGCTCCGTTCCTCACCTCTTTCCAAAAGTGGGAAATCTAAAGTTGCACAGCCCTTCACCCCCAGGATCTCACCCCATCCCCCAATGCTCCTCTGCCTCCCTCGAGGACCTGGGCTCCTCTCCTGCTGAGCCCCTCAGGTTAGGGTCTCTCCTCTCCCCTATGGGCTCCAGCGTCAGCCGGGAACCAAACCAGCTTTGCCTCAGGGGATCCTGGGCACACATCTGTCTTCTGACTCACAGCAATGGCAAGTTTAGAGGCACCTGCTGCCAGGTTCCAGGGCCTCTGGGGGGATTAGTGTAGGATGAGGCGTCCCACACTGCTGCCACCATGAGGTGAAGCGGGCCTGAATTCAGGGACTCTGGGACCAGGAGCTAATGGAGGGGCAGATGGCTGCTGGTTGGCTCTGCTCTCCTGGGAAGGACAGCCAGGCCCTCAAACCTGGAAAAATTGTTTAAAAAATAGATAAAAATTAAAGAACAATGTATTTTAGTTATAAAGCCTCAACCAACAAAACAAAACCGCTCATGTTTTAAGTAAATTTATGATTTTGTTGGGTCACATTCATAGCTGTGCTTAGCAGCATGCAGGCCATGGACTAAGGGTTAGACTAACCACTTAGCCCCTGCCCAATGACTAGCAAAAGACTTTTCCCTTCTTGCAGGGGGTAAGAAACCCACCCTTCTAAAACCTATGTGGTAGCTTGACTTCTTATATTTGTGAGAGGGAAAAGCCAGGTTGGGAAAGGTAGTCTAATTTCCTAATGACCCACTTTGTATCCATCACAAGCCCCTAGTATAAAATGAGACACACTGTGTTACTTGGGTAACAGCAATGCACAGCCATTGAGCCTACTCGTGGATCTTCTACTAACAATCTTAAAGAACTTCTAGAGCTGCAAATATTTTTACCAAAGGGAAGAAGAAAAGGAACGAAGGTGGGATGGTTGCTATAAAGCAGGTGTGTATCGTAAAGGAATCCCTTCTGAATTTCTGCTTCTGAGAAGCCCTACATGCCAAGAAACCCTACTCTTCACCCTGGAGACTCCAGTTATCTTTATGTGTTTGAGACAGAGTCTCACTATGAATTTCCAGCTAGCCCGGAACCCACTTCTAGACTCAAACTCACAGAGAAGCATCTACCTCTGCCTCCTAAATGCTGGGATTAAAGATGTGTGCCACCTTCACCTGCCCAGTTTATCACTAGATGTAGTGAACGCCCTTCTTGGAAAAAAATGGCTTTATGGGCTGGAGAGATGGCTCAGTGGTTAAGGACAATAAATGTTCTTGCAGAAGACCCGGGTTCAAATCCCAACACCCACATGGCAGCCAACAACTGTCTGTAACTCCAGTTCTAGGGGATCCGACAGCCTCTTCTGTCCTCCACGGGCATTGTACAACACGGGTGCACTTACCTAATGCAGGCAATACACGCATACACATTTAAAAAAAAAAAAGAAAATGGCTTTATAAGCAGGGAGTCACTGCTTCTAATTATTTAATCTTTTTGAGGCAAATACTTCTATTTTTCTCTCTTCAACTAAGCCCTGCCAGATGTATATTTTAACAAAAAGCTATTCTAAGGAATGGTGCTACACATCTATGATCCCAGCCCTTGGGAGGTGGAGGTAGGATGATCTGGAGTTTAAGGCCAGCCTCAACTACATAGCAAGTTTGAGGCCAGCCAGGGCTACATAGTGAGTCCTAGGCCAGCCTTGGCTACAGTGTGAGACCCTATCTCAACAAACTAACAAAAACGTGAGAAGGCCCAGAGGAGCACGTGGGTACACCAGTGGAGAACTACATTTCAAGGTGCCCCGACCCCATCTGCCAGTGTCCCTACCCAGGGACACCAATATTCTGGAACACGAGTCTCCTCCAGCCTTCACCACCTTTGTGCCACACTTCACTCTGCTACCCCAGGCTCCTGAGCTCCGGTACAGTCACCACCACATCCCCAGGACCTCCCCGCAGCCCACCCAATGAAAATGTATAGACGAGGCCCTGACCCGTGCCTCACACCCAGGTTCACAGAGGGCCTGTGCCTCTCTGATCAAAGTAAAGTCTGCATTACCAAAATGCTACATTTGGGCCACTGCAGGCCAGACAAGCCCACTAGCTCCCTGGAGCCCTTGGTCACATTGGATAGCAGCCCACAAGGGACCTGTGTATCTTGAGCCTCTGAAACCTGCAACATGTTACCCGGAACTGTCAAAAGTGTTCACACATGAGGGTTATATCAAAGGTCAGTTTTGAATCTCTGTTTGGAGGTAGGAGAAAACCTGTGTTCTTGTGTAACCATAGAAATCCTGGAAAGGATGCTGGGTCGGGGCCTTTGGCGGTTTGTTCTTCCCCATCATACGTCTTTGCATACGTCTTCTGGGGATTCAGCACTGGTGCCCCCAGCACCTGTCTGCCCTGGATTCCTTCTGTCTCCCCCCCGACTTTCCCCAGCCACAGGGTTCCATACCTGCTGCCCTCTGTTGCACATGCATGACCTTGCCCCTCCCCAATCCTTTGCTCCTAGAACCTTCCAAATGTGACATTCCTCCATCACAACCCTTCCCCCATGTGCCCTGGAGCACCTGTGGAGGGATAATATTCCTGGAGAGACGCGAACAAACATCTCACCCCAGAAAGGGAACCAACAGACCAAGTCAGGACACCACCGAAGTCCAGTTTGGTGAACCAGTGGGTTTTAATGGGGTTGCTTAGAGGAGTATAGGTGGGGCTTATGGGAGCAGAAATGACTCAGAAACAGCTGCATCACCAGAAGCCCACCGCAGCATGGGGGACAGCTCAGGAAAATAGGACATCTGGAGCACACTGCACAACGTGCGTGTCGGCAGCTCAACGGACTAGAGAGTCTTTTCCAGGCAGCTCAGCTGGTCTGAGCCTCGTCCAGACAGCCTGGCTGGTCTCTACCCTCCAGGCAGCTCAGCTAGTCTGAAAAAGTCTCTCCGCAGTCTAGGGCTTCTGGGGCTTCTGTATGTTTGGGGAAGAAGGACCTAGTGAATTTGGTCAGTTCTGGGGACTTCTTGAAGCTGTTGACTTGCTCACTTCCCTGAAGGATGGAATGTCCCACCTCCCCTTAGAATACCCTGTGTCTTAACAAGCTTCCCTTTAAGATGGAATGTCTTATGTGGGTGGGACCCCAGGGAGGACACACTGGCTCTGTACCAGTGAGGAAACTCCATGGTGGCCAGGGCTTCTGAGTCTCTCTTGACCTGGGCACAGTGCCTGAACTCTCACTCCAGAAGATAGGCCACTGTTTGGGGGGTTCCTAGCTGCCCTTTGGCCCAGCTGGGTTGCTTCAACCTTGTTCCCAAGAAAGGAACATTCAGGCCTCCGAGGCAGCTACAGCCTGGGGCCCATACCTGGCCCCCTCCTCCAAGGCCGTATCAGGTGCACTCGGTGAGGCCAGTGCTGAGATCCAGTGAGTAGAGATGACAGGTGACACTAAAGACCTGAACATGTCCCAGAAAACCAGGGGAGACCACCACTGCATCCTGGCCTCTACCCTTCCCAGACCCCTTTATCTTTTTTCTGCCGTCCCAGGTCTAGCCCTGTCCCCCTACCCCTGAGGTCCCCACTGGGGCAGGGGTTGGTGGAGAGAAAGGGGGACCAGACAACCAAACATGGAGGACAGTGGCGGGGGGGTCAACCTGGTGAGGGTGATGCCTTCCACCTGGCTTGCAGAGCCTCCTCTCCTCCCAGACTCCACCTCCACAGTGAGGAAGCCCCTCCCTCTGCACCCACCCACCAACCATCCATCTGAGTGTTAAATTGCCACGCCCATTTCATCCATCTTCTCATGAGGCTTTTGAGGTGTCTCTCCCTCTCGTGAGACTTTGCAGGGTGCTGCAGCTAGACAGTGACTGACCTGGTCCTGGAGAGACCAACACCAAGTTGGCCTGCTGGGTTTGGGCAACATGAGTCAGCAGGCCCTGCTGGGTTTGCCGCTAGCATTGGTTGGTGGCCTGCCTGAATCCCTGTCCACCCAAGGTAAGTGCTTGACTCCACAACAGGGTTCCCAGGGCACACTGCACGTCCCACCTGGGGAAGGGGTTGCACTGAGCTCAGGTCCCTCAGAGTCCTCATCTTTCTTCCATGCACCTGGGGTGGCCCCAGCTCCATCAGACAGCAGGGGCACATAAGCTTTCTTTTGCACAACTGCCTTTGTTGCTAGCAACGACTTTACCCTTCAGTTCCCTTTCAGAGCAGATGTGTCTGTGGGAAATCCTGCGGTAAGGTGCAAAAGATTAACGATAAGTGGGTGGGAGGCTCAGGGCTCTCTCAGGCACACTTCTCATGCAAAAAAACCAGAGTGGTGTTTAGTTTGTGAGATGCTGAGGTTTACACTTGGTTGAAAGAATGAAAGGAACCTGTGTACACATGAAAATACGTGCTGTGGGCTCAGGGACTCGGCAAACTAGACAGGTATCTGGGGGTCCAACAAACAAGCCAATGTGCGCCCCCTCTATAGAGCCACAGGCTCTGGATGCCTAGAAATGGTGGAAGGAAAAGGAGACAAGCCAGCACTGGACAGAGAAAGCTAAGGGAAGATGGAGCAGTGGCCTCCGACTATCCAGGGACTCACCTAAGAGAGAGAGAAAAGACTAGAGCCATGTGGGGAGTGATCAAAAGGAAGAAGGCCCAGTGTGGTGTGCAGCAAGGTTGGGGGCAGCCCAGGGCCGGCCGTGGGCTGGACCCCAGGTCCCTACACAGTTCCTGTGGGAGGTGTCTCTGTCCCTCTGCCAACCCAGTGGTGACAGCGGTGGGTCCTTCATAGTGGTGCAACAGTCTCCCCTGTACGCAATCATCCCCGAGGGAGGCTCCATCAACATCACCTGCACCACCAGAGGAGCACCTCTGTATGGGATCTTCCTGAAGCAGAGCTGGCCACGTGTGGCCAATGTGATTTACTATTCGGATGGGAAGGAGTCTACAGTGGACAAACGCTTCTCGGGCCGCATTGACTTCTTGGGGTCCCAGAACAACCTGACCATCACCATGCACCTCCTGCAGCTGAACGACTCTGCCATCTACAGTTGCCATGCCATCATGGAAAAAGAAGTTCAGGGCTCAGGCACCATGGTTGCGGTGACAGGTAGGGGAGATGCCCGCATGCCACTGACCAGGCCAGTCCCCACTGGCCCCTGGGGACCACCTCTTCTTCTCTTGCTGGAGTTGTCTCTGCTCAGAGCCCACCTCTTCCTGGAAGCTTCCTAGATTGCCACCCTCTGTTTCCTCTTCCATTGGTGGTTCCTTTTTGTCTTCCCAGAAAAACTGTCCCAAGGAGAAAGCAGACCCCAGAAACTTCAGGTGACATTAGTCGCTCTCCTGACTGGCCTTCCTGTGGGCTTTTTCCTCACTGGGCTAATCCTCGGGGTGCTGTGTACACTGAAGAAGACACAGGTCAGTGTAAGCCCACGACTGTCACTGACAGGCTGACCCTTCTCACAGAGCAGAGAGGGAAAGAGAGAGAGGGCTTAAGGCCAGAGAGCTGGTCAAACAGGAAACCCCAGCACCCGTCTCACCCTCTTTTGCAGGGTTCTGGGGGGCTCTCATGATGTACGTGACAGAGCACTAAAGATTCAGGGAGGGGGTATGAGCAAGGCTAGAGGGAGACAGAAGGGGAGAATGGGGCCCAGAACAGGTAGAATGTGGGGCCTCTGACCAGACCCTATGCACAGGCCAAGTGAGACAGCAGGCATGTGAACATGCATGTGCATATGTGAGTGTAGGGTATGCAGAGTCTCTGAGATGTAATTGTATCAATGTGCTTGAGTCAGTGTGCTGTGTGGGAAGGAGACAGACAGGGTCCTGGAGATGGTCAGCCTTGCCTGGTCACTCAGCTGTTTGCCAGGAGGCACGAGCAGTGGCCAGCACTGGCCTACCTACAGCTCACTTTGCCAGGTATATAGATGGAGGTCTGCCCTGCCCACCTACTCAGGTCTGGGGAAACTTTGTGTTGAAGAAATGAGGTGTGTGGAGCCAGGTGTACCTTATCCCAGTGACAACAGGCTGTCATTTCAGATCAAGAAACTGTGCACCTCCAGGGATAAGAACTCACGGTGCGTGGTGGTGTATGAGGACATGTCCTACAGCAACCGCAACACCCCATGTGCCCCCAACCAGTACCACTGAGGCCCTCTGCCCCCACACTATCTCACCATAGCTTGTAATGGGCCTGCTAACCCACTGAGCCCCTCTGCCCCCACACTATCTCACCATAGCTTGTAATGGGCCTGCTAACCCACTGAGCCCAGCTCCCCAGTACTTTGTGCAGGCCACTCAAGTGCCCCTTTGGTACTTCTGAGTGGACAGGGCTCCTCCTCCAAAAAGCCTTCCCCAAAGGCCTTTGGCTGCCTCCAGGTGGCCCCGATGGTGCTGCCATCAGGGACAAAGCTTGGCAAAGGCATGTGATACCACCTGGCGTGGGGGGGGGCAGGAGGAGGCTCCACCCTACCCAGCCTTGCCAGAAATAAAGGACTTGTTTTCTTCCCTTTCTCACTGTGGCGTTTATTTCTCAGTCAGCTCCTAGCTGGTAAGAGTAAGGGTTCAGATTGCTGACTCCCAGGGCTTCCAGTGTCCATGTGAGAACAGAAGAGGAGAGGAGGGAGAGAGCTCTTCCCACCGCAGCCCCCAGGAGCCCCAGCACTCCAGACCCTGAGAAGGAGTAGCTCACCTGCACAGGAGAAGAGCCAGTGGCAAAGGCCTCGACAGCAACCCCACCTGTCTAGGAGGCCATGTCTCTAAAGCCAGCAGCCCCACTGGGTCCCTGCTGGTGCAGCCCTAAGGCCCTCAAAGTGAGCAGCAGGGGCAGTGGCTTTCCCAGAAACCCCCGTCTCAGAGGTCCCTGCTGGGCACCGGTGCAAAGCACCACACCAGCAGCTCTCACACAAGACCAGCCCAGCTTGCAAGTGCTGTACCTGAGGATAAGAGCCCTCACTTCTACTATTTGTGGATGGGGAAACTGAGGCATAATCACTCAGATGACACATATGTCCAGGCCTGCAATCACTCACATCACATCACTGCCTCCTGGGACAACTGAAGGCATCAGAGGGGACAGGAACAAAGTCAACACGTTTGTGCTGGGCCACACCGGCTCCACGCTCTCACCTGCCACCACTCCTCTCCTGCCCCATCCCTGCCCCCCACCACAGACATAGAGGACAGGTGGCTGATGGCAGCAGTCCAATGGTCCTGCTCTGTGCACCTGGCAAACAGAGGGAGACAGAGGAACCAATGGCAAGGGGCACGCTCAGATCCAGCTCCATCCACCTCCCCGCAGAGCCCACCCAGACAGGCCCAGGACAGCCTCCCCTGCCCAAGCTGGGCCCTGCTCTCTCGACCACCACCATGGCCCTCACAACCATGGCCCTTACCACCATGGCCCTCATGGAGACCCTCAAAGGTGAGGGCGATAACAAAGCCTGAAAAAGTCCCTGGAGCACCAGAGCCTACAGCAGACGTGTAAGTCATGGGGCAGCCAAGACCTGTGTCTGTGAGCCCCAGCAAGTCCACCCTTGACCCTTTGTGGGCCCCCTCCTGTGTGATGCTACCCCTGAGCCTTATCTGGATGGTTCTGTCCAGGTACTTAGCCACTGTCCTGGGTCCAGGCAGCCTCCTAGTCAGCATCACCAGCCTCATCTAGGAAACCTTGAATGAGGCCTGTGAGACATGAGACCTCCCTCTGGTCTGAGACTCAGACCCTCTCTTCTGTATTCAGGCCTGGTTGGACTGACCCAGCTCCCCAACCTGTCCCAACTCTGACCTCCCAAAAGAGCCAGACTGCCTCCTGAAGGGCTAACCTGGGTCAAGACTTCCTCGGTGGGTGATCACCTAGGCGGAGACCTCCACCAGCATGTAAGGGACCTGACAACTGCAGACCCACAGACCAGCAGTGAGCCCTGAGCCCGAGTGTCCGTGTAAGTCAGAGACAAAACCAACAGCCTCGTCTTCGTGCTAGAAACTTAAAACCACCACAAACAAGAATAACAACGGACATCTACAAGCTGCTGGTGTTACAGAGTCTGAAACCACTGGGAAAAAGACCACCAGACCCAATTCAAATTTTAACCGGTCAGATTTATTAGGGCTCTAGCCATCCACGGTCCCTTAGTCAGATCAGGACCCACGGCTCCGAGGGGAGGGTGAAACTAGTTTATAAAGGCAAAACCCACAAATACCATAAGAATTTCATCACACATGTGTACTTCCAGGTGGTCCTGAGTATGGTCAGGATGGCCCAAGTTAGATAAGCAAACTGCGCAAGCCAGAACAAGCTTGTGTTTGTCCTTCTCTTAACAGATGTATAGAGAGAGACCTTGACAGTAAGGCACTTTCTCATCATTATTGTTATTTAGGCTTCTTGGCTAGGCAGAAGCACAACTGCAGTGTCTGGGAGGTGACCAAGGTCAGCCACTCCAAAGAAAGCACTCTTCTAAGGGGCAGCAACTGAGTTCAGGCATTTAACCTTGAAGCTGGCTGTTTTTGTCTTTGAACTTTAAAGTGGCTGCTTTACACAAAGTGAAGAAAATGGAGTTTCTTTGGTTGTTACAGTCTGGGGGGACTCCATTGGGGCCATTGCACTGCGGACTGTTTATGATGCAAACTACAGGTCAAGAACCAATATGCTTAATTTACGAGATACCGCATCCATGAATAGAAAGATGAACATTTGGATAAAAAGTATAAAATACCCCAAACAAGAAGCACATACCTTACACTCAAACTGCTAGTTATCAAGGAAATACCAATTGGAGACAACCTTCCACCCACTTAATTTGCAAAGCTCAAATGACACTAGAGTACAGACATAGAAACACACCTATGACTTTCCAGAGCCTCACTTCCAGAGTGGAAACTATCCATAGCCAAGAAATCAAATTACAGTATGATGCTCACAGTGTTGCTTCCAATACAAAATTAACAACTGAGAAAGAAGCCCAGCATCCAAACAGGAGAGCCCTAAGCTGATCACGACACCATGGAGGAGTCTGGGACTCCAGTGAGAACATCCGTGAAACACGGGGAAGATATGCAAGGTGGCAGAGGACAGACCCACGACCCCACATTTATAAACTGAAAGTGTGTGTGAGGGTTAGTACTGCTTGTCATCCTCACAAGACCTAGAGCCACCAGAAGGCCAATCTCTGGGCCTGCCTGGGAGGGAGTTTCTAGATGAGGTGAACTGAGGAGGGAAGACCCACCCTGAATGCAAGGGGCACTTTCCCACGGGTTGAGGTCCTGAGCTGAATAAAAATTAGAAAGTGGGGGCTGGAGAGATGGCTCAGTGGATGAGAGCACTGGCTGCTCTTGCAGAGGACCTGGGTTCCCAGCACCTATGTGGAGGCTGACAACCATCTGTAACTCCAGTTACAGGGATCTACACCCTCTTCTGTCCTCCAAGGGCACTGAACGACATGGGTGTGCTTATGCATAATACTCATACACATAAAATAAAAATAAATAAATCAGGAGACATGGCTCAGCGGTTGAGAACACTAACCTTTCTTGCAGAAGACCCGGGTTCAAATCTGAGCACTCACATGGCAACTAACAACTGTCCGTAACTCCGGTCCCAGGGGATCCGACAGCCTCTTCTGTCCTCTGCGGGCATTGCACGACACGGGTGCACTTATCTACGTGCAGGCATAACACTCATACACATAAAATAAAAATAATAAATAAAATGTGTTTAAAGAATCAACCAATGAATCAAAAAAACCAATTTTTTAAGTAGAAAACAAGCTGAGCACCAGCATTCATCAGTCTCCGCTTCCTGACTGCGGGCACAGTGTGAGCAGCTGCCTCACACTCCGGCTGCCGTGCCTCCCCACCATGATGGACTGTAGCCCAAACTGTGAGCCACAATAAACCTTCCTTTAGTCGGGCATTTAATCACGGCAATGAGAGAGATAACGAATACAGTATGCGTAGTTCTTACACACACGTTTTATGCAGACACAGAGGATGCTAATGATGACTTTCTCCAGCATGCTGTATGGAGCTCCCTTTTTCTTTCTCTGCATCCACATGTTAGCTGTAGCGGGAATCAGCATCACAGCGTTTGAGGTGGACAGTGGGGCCGGGTCTCCCTCCTGTGCCCAGTCCTCCCTCTCCAGGTGGCTAGCAGTCCCTCACTGTCCAAGTGTCCTCCCAGAGCCCTGTGTCTGACAGCAGCTGATGATCTCTGTGTCAGTCCCACTCCTCAACATCTGGAGGCCACCAACCCTCTGCAGATCTGGGCAAGTCACTGTAATGTCCATATCCAGGAAGCCCCATGACCCTCAGGCCAGTAAGTGTGGGCTGGATGGCTCTGGATGGCTCTTTTACACCAGCACCATCAAGTAGATTCAAACAATTACCAGGAAAGACAAAGAACACAGATGTGGGATCCTGAGAGTGGACTGGGCACAGCTGGAATTCTGAGGCTCTCAAGCTTGGTCACTGTGCATCAAACATCTGTCACCCTCAAGATGTACTGTACACAGACTCTCTCCTCACATCCCCAAATGACCATGTTGGTGGTCATGTCCTGTGTAGTAGCAGGAGTCCTGTTCCAGCTCAGCCTCAAACACTCAGACCAGTGATGTGACTCAGAGTCCCGGTCCAGGTGTCCCCACCTCCCTGGAGGAAGTGAAGTTATCCGTGTCTTGGGACTCAACTAAAGGCAGAGCCAGATGTGCAGCAGGTGCCACCAGGGGCTTGCTGACTTCTGGCCTTCCTGTTTGACTACTTAACAAAAAAAACCCTTATTATTGGCCCTTGGGCCTCAGTTTCCCTATCTGTGAATTAAGTGCATAAGGTCTACATTCTCCTCAAGTGCTGATGTGGTTGCTAGGATAAGTTGGCAGCCAGCTGAGCTGCCCCAGCCCCTCGGCTCCCTCCTCAGGGAAGTGACTCCACTCTCGCTTCCCTCTCACATCTGAAGCAACTTCCTGAAAGATAAGCAGACAGCCCACAAGCCCACCTCAGAGCCCGTGTCAGCTGAGACATCATTTCCAAACTCCACCCAGTGACCATAGGCCCTGTGTGTGCAGGCCCGAGTCCCCAGGGTCCCCCTTCTTCCTCCTGAACCCCTCCACATCAGGCTTTGCTCCCCATGGTCCTCCTCTTTGTCCACATGCAAGCCTTGATGGTGTGATACACAGGGATGAGTCTTTCTGCCACACCTGCCAGGCTCAGAAGTACCCAGGCCCTTGGTGAGCACCACTATGTGCTGGGCATGTTGGGTAAATGTGCTAGCTTATCCGTCTAGTCACAAGAGCATGTGCTTGGTCCCCACTGTATTTCTCTGGTGACGTCTCTCAGGGTGGTGGACCTTTGTCTGTGAAATGGAACAACAGTAGTTGAATGCACACAGCACCTCAGGATATACCTCCACAGAGTGACACTCCTTAGCTGCTTAGGCTTGTACAAACATCAAGGGAGTTAGACTACAGGGGTGAAACAAGA